ATATAATAGGACAACAACAACAATAATAATAACAATAATAGTAGTAGTAGTAGTAGTAGTAATGATAATAATAATAATAATAATCTTACTGTCATTGTATGAATAAAGTGACCAGCTTGTATCAATAAAGCATTCGTTTTTCTGTGTATTTCTCTGTTAAAAATCATTAGCAACGCAAATCTTTAGTAAAAGTTATTAAGATGAATTTCTGCAGCAATCCGTTTACAATGCATTTCGTCGTTGCATTTATTTTTGGCAATTGACATTTTCTTGATATGTCCCGGAAACGGATATATTTGATCGAAGTAGCTAAGTGGGTTTGCCTACTGTAACCAAGTAGTACCCGGTAGCAGTAATCGACTGGTACTCGTCGTAGTCGCAGGTAATATGCTTAGACAATTGCCGTAGTCCAATGGGCGTCGTCATAGGCTTAAACTCTGTCGTACATACACGTCTGTCTGTATTTATGACGGACACCATCAAATCATATTCCAGTGAGAGGGAACACAGGTGTATGCATATTCCATTATATCATTTCTTTTTGCCTATATTGTGTCAATAATACTTACAATAATGCTTTGTCACTAATAATCAATTTCTTCGTAAGTTTTAATGAATTTATAGAGTAAAATAATGCACAGTATAGCCCTATTCTTTCAATAATGCTTACATTATCGATTGGGCATAAAAAATCGCTTTTATTTCTCCTACATTTCAATTGTATACTATAGAAAAACAAACATTTGGTGATACATGTTGAAACCATTATCAAGGCGAAAATCTAAATGCAAAATCAATCACCTTCTGTTTTTTCTTCTCTGTACTTTTATTGTTCAATAAAGTGTTCTCGTTCTTTTTCACCCTCAGTAACCCCGAGTGTCTTAGTGACATTATCGACATCACCATTGGTTTTTGTTATAGAATAAGATTTCAAAGCAGTGTTGTCAAAGGTCAGAAAACAATAGAAACGTTCTTGAAAGAATAGGTTGGTTGGTCTTCTTTATCAACCGCTATAGATTATTTAATGCCTAAATCTAAATATTCGGTACTCAGTTTTATTCTATTTTTGAGATAATAATAATTTTTTAGTGATAGATGTCTTACTAATTAACCCATAGCTGGGAGACAAGAGGTGGATTCATATGTTTTCCAAAGGTATTTGCGCAACCCAACTAGAATTAGAACTCGGTTCTCCGTTTAACAATCCCGAGCCATTATCCATTAACCCACCAGTACATCCTAGCTTACAGCGCCTGTTATTCCCAAGTGGTCACCCATCCAGCCTCGACGTTGCTTAACTTAGGTGATCGTACGGGGACCGATGTTTCAACGTGATACAGCCATAGGACTGAAAGAATAGAACTATTATAAAGCCTTAAATATCTGTCTCCAAGCAAAGCGATTATTGCGGACTTTAGTGAGGAGAAAGGACAATAAAAGAACAGATTAAAAAACAAAACAACAGAAAAAGGCGATTGATGTTTCTTGGTTTGGTTTGGTTTGGTTTGGTTTTACGGTATATCAACCTCAATAGGTTATTTAATGCCGGCAAGATTTTTGGTAATATTTATTTATTTTTAATTTTTTTGTTTTCTCAAAAATGTATTGCTGGTAATATTTTTTTTAATGTATTGGTAATTTTTTAAAAATATTCTTTTTTTTTAAATGTATTGCTGGTAATATTTTTTTTTTAAAATGTATTTTTTAAAAAATGTATTGTTTTTTTTTTTAAATGTATTGCTGGTAATATTCTTTTTTTTTTAAGTATTGCTGGTAATATTTTTTTAAAATGTATTGCTGGTAATAATTTTTTTAAATGTATCTTTTTTTTTTATATTCTTTTTTTTTTTAAATGTATTGCTGGTAATATTTTTTTTAAAATTGTATTGCTGGTAATATTTTTTTATTTTTTTATTTTTAATTTTTTATTATTTATTTTTTATTTTTTTTGCAAAAATGTATACTGGCAATAACCATTTTTTTTATTCAAAAATGAATTGATTGTAATATTTTTTATTCAAAAATGTATTCCTGGTAATAATTTTTTTTTTTCAAAAATGTATTGCTTCTAAGGGTTCGATCCAAAATTACAACCACCTGAAGAAGGCCGTTGTACGCTCCGGCATCCTTCAGGTGGTTGGAATGTCGAACTGAACCATTTATTTCGCTCACTGGCGTAGACTATTCTAGTTCCACGTGCCATGTCTAATGGATGTCAGTTATCAGTTATCTCCTGTTAATTTCCCTCTGAAAGTTCTCCACCGCCTTGACCAGGTATTGAACTCACACTCTTTGGATCCTGTCACTGGATCTAACTAACGCCTTTATCCTTGAGGACACATGGCACACTGTGTGAATTTCTGGGTATTATAAACCTAATGTCTTCAGCAATCATTTTTTACTAGTGCTCATATTGCAATTTTTTGCTGTTATCATTGCATGTTTTTATCCGAAACCTTCTCATAAATATGGCGACGAAGATGAGGACATTAGTCCGAATAATGTAAATAGTGTACTTTCATGGTAATTGTTCGGACGAGCTCTTCGCTATTGTACCTAGACATTTTGAATTTAAGCGCAATACTGGACTGGCGTCGAGATCTCATCAATTTACAGTTGAGCTGGCTACATGTAGCTGTAAATTCTATGCTGTTTCTTTTCTCGATTGTGGAACTCCCTTCCGGCTCCATGATTTCCAGCTAACTTTAATCTTTAAACATTTAAAAGCATTGTCAATCACTGTCTACTGTCCTCTTGATTATTCTTTTCTCTTCCAGCTGATTTCATATTTCTGTTTCTAATTCTTCAGCACCCTATCACCCCTTGCGTCTTAGTGGCTTTACTGCCTTGCATCGGACGATACCGATTTAAAAAAAACAAAAAAACAGAAAAAACGGACACGTGCATTACAGTGATGTAATTCTCAGTCAAGCTTTCCTATTTTTCTAAATTCGCAGAACTTTGTCCAATTCGTCCCGACAATATGAATACGTGAATCAAAATAGGACGACAAACGATTACATCTGTGTTTCAAAATGTATAAAAGTAGGTATATATTCGTGTTGATATGCATTTTAGCATATGTTTATAAGCATCCTCTGCGCACATGTGTAGCGGGTAGTATGGGAAGGCGTCCGACGAGAAGTTGGCTTCAATATGGCAGTACACAACGTCTGATATGAATGGCAGTGATAGAAAACGAATTCATGCCAGAGAAAGGATTAATTTCCATGCAAAAAGAACAAAAGGAAACATTCGTTTGCCATTTTTGGTGTTGTACTTTGTAGCATATTTTTAGATATTGAAGAAAGAATGAAGGAAATCAGCATGGGGGTGGAAAAGAAAAAAGGACAGCATAAGTAGAATTAACGAGGAAACAAAAGGGTAGAAAGAAAGAAAGAAAGAAAGAAAGAAAGAAAGAAAGAAAGAAAGAAAGAAAGAACAAAGGGGTAGAAGGAAAGAAAAAATAAACAAATAAAAATGTGGTAGAAAAAACAAACAAATAACAGATGGTTGAAAGAAAGAAAGAAAGAAAGAAAGAAAGAAAGAAAGAAAGAAAGAAAGAAAGAAAGAAAAGGAGAAAGAGAGAAAGAAAGAAACTGGGAAAGGAAAAACTGCATAAATAGAAAAAGAAAGAGTTAAAAGAAGATTGGCAAGGAAAAGAGAAACTGCAAAGAAAGAAAAAAAGAAAGAAGCAAACAGAGATGAAAGGGTAGAAAGAAAGAAAGAAAGAAAGAAAGAAAGAAAGAAAGAAAGAAAGAAAGAACGAAAGAACAAACAAATAACAAATGGGTAGAAATAAACGAACAAACAAACAAACAAAAGATGGTTTGAAAGAAAGAAAGAAAGAAAGAAACAAACAAACAAACAAACAAACAAAGAAAAACTACGTAAATAGGAAAAAGAAAAAGTTCAAAGAAGTTTGGCATGGAAAGGAGAAACTACAAAGAAAGAAAGAAAGAAAGAAAGAAAGAAAGAAAGAAAGAAAGAAAGAAAGAAAGAAAGAATTGAAAAGAAACGAAAAATTAGGTAAATCGAAAAAAAAAACAATCTGGAGAATGAAAAGGAATGAAAAATAGGTAAATAGAAAAGAAAGAAAGAAAAAGAAAGAAAGAAAGAAAAAAAAAGAAAGAGGTAATGAAAAGAAAAAAATTAGGTAAAAAAGAAAAGAAAAAAGAAAAAAGAAAGAAAAAGAAAAGAAAAGAAAAAGAAAGAAAGAAAATGAATGTTAACAAGGAAAAAGAAAGTACATAAATAAAACGGAATAAAGAATAAGCGAAAAACTAAACCTTTGCATAAAGATAAAACGAAGAAACTGAATGAAAACTGGGGAATGAAAAAAAGAAAGAAAGAAAAAGAAAAAAAAGAAAAAAAAAGAAAGGTTTAAAATGAATACTAATAAGAAAGAATTGACCAAAAACCTAAAGTGTTAAAGAAAGAGATAAATGAAGATTAGGAAGAAAGAAAATGTATGACATAGATTGACTATAAAAAAGAATTAAAGTTTGAAAATGAATGTTAAAAAGAAAAAAGAAAGCCCAAAAATAAAATAGACAGAAAGAATAAAAGAAAAAGCTAAGGTGTTAAAGAAAGAAAAGAAAGAAAGAAAGAAGCAAAAAGGTCAAAGAAAAATAAGAAAAGAAACAGTAAAACTTAAAGAGAAAGAAAGAAGCAAACTAAATACACGAGTGAAATGATAGAAATAAGTAAAATGATAAAGAGAAAGAATGGCAACTATTCACGTAAAAAGCATGAATAAAAAAGAATGAGAAGATAATGAAGGAAAAATAGTTGGAAGGAAAAAAACGAATGAAAACGAGTGAGAAAAATAAGTAACGAAAGGAAAACAACCCGATGACTCAGTTAAATGTGGAGAGCAGAAGACATCGATTGAAAGCAAAACAATCACGAATCAATAGCAAGCATAAACAGGGTGAAAAACGGCAATGTCTATATTTATGAATAAATATAGATGCGCCATATTTGACCGTTGCGACCATCTTAAATTAAAGGGTTAATCTGGAGATCGAGAAGAAATAAAAGCCAAAAAAACTAAATGAAATCGAAGTTGATCCGTTCTCTTTAATCTGAAGGGAAGAGAAATTAGCTAGTAAAACTCCGTAAAGAAATAAGATTCTTTCGTTTCTCGCGAGATTTGACGCGATAAAATGCGAGACAATCCCTCCATTCATTTCTTTTTTTATTAATTCTTTTTGGGAAGGTTTTGACGCTTAATTCCATGTATCTGTATACACATAGACACCAGCAAGTAATGCACATGCACATATACACATGCATATATGATGTGCGAGATAATTATATATGGAAATGTTTATGTGCATAACAACAAAGAAAGCGAGATAGGTTTATCAATAAGTCCGTAGCCTGATAAGGAAAAAAAAGCGTTTACTCAACCTCCTGCAGTGCATTTAACGCAACAATAGGTTTTATCACAGTAACATTTTCGATTAAAGTTTCAAATAATAACTTTGTCTACCTACGGACTTACTGATACACCTAAGATTACACACACACACACACACACACACACACATATATATATATATATATTATATATATATATATATATATATGTATGTATTCATGAATTATTCATACAAAAAACAAATACAAAGGTTAATGATTTAATTGGCGAGAAATCCATCGTCGCGAACAATTCAAATAATATACAAATACCCTGAACCTGTATATGAATGAAAAGATCCTTGTTTCTATAAATTTCTGTTGCATGAGTTCTTATTATTTTTACAAGCTTTCGTCTGTTCCTACAGACATCCTCAGGTATGGAATAGATTTTGTTTTTGTTTTTACTCTCAGTAATAAGAGGACAACGAAAATATATGTATTGTTGTAATCCGGAAAATGCTATTAGAAATGAGTTATTGTTTTTGGAGCGTGCAGTCGCAACGCTGAGTTTGAATTTAAATTTTAAAGTTGTGCGTTCTTGTACAAATATAGTGATAAGACAATTCTTTTTTACTGGTAAATTTTCTGTCAAAGTGGCATGAACTTTATTGTTCAATAATTACAGTAATGTCGCACTTATTATCCAAAAGTTGCATTTGGATCAGTTATTTTAGTTTCAATAAAGGTGCAATTAATTTACAAATTCATAAATTATTTATACAAAAAACAAATACAAACGTTAATGATTTAATTGGCGAGAAATCCATCGTCGCGAACAATTCAAATAATATACAAAAACCCCGACCTGTTTATGAATGAAAAGATCCTTGTTTCTATAAATTTCTGTTGCATGAGTTCTTATTATTTTTACAAGCTTTCGTCTGTATATATGGGATAAGTTAAATGAAATAGCTAGATATTAGCAATCGTATACTTGCGTACTGACATGAATACAGAGGTAAGCAAATAAATAATTACCAAATTTTGCCAAGAGGTGTAGACATAATAGTGCTCGATGTGGTCAGACAGAGCTAAACAATATATATATTAATATATATACATAAACCTACGCTTGGTGTGCGACTTAAGTTTCGTTGGTTACCCAACTCGTCGGGTACAAGATATATTGAAGTCTCCTGCCTGACAAATCGACCATGGTGAGATTCGAACCCGGGTCTCATGATCAGAACAGGAACGTTCTAGCCATTATATATATATATATATATATATATATATATATATATATATATATATATATATATATATATATATATATATATATATATATATATATATCAGAACGTTCTGACCATGAGACAAGTTCGAATCTCATCCTATATAAATATATTATGATTTTTTTTTAAAATTAATTATTAAATAATATCTTTACCTACTGACACAGGTAATATTATATATATATATATATATATATATATATATATATATATATATATATATATATATATATATATATTGAAAAAAAAAATATTAAAAAATTAAAATCTTTAGACACACTGGGTTGTAGATTAATACTCTTTCGTTTTTTTTTTTTATTATTTTTCATTTAGATTCCTCGACTAGTTTCGAACCAAAATGGCCATCATCGGGCGGAGAAATATTTCTGCTTGCTGGTAGCAATAAACTACAGAAATGAATGTTTTGGAGAATATATATATATATATATATATATATATATATATATATATATATATATATATATTTTTATGGATATATATATATATATATATATATATATATATATATATATATATATATATATATATTATAAGACATCAAAGTCCGACAATTATTTTAAGACATCAAGTAAGTATTTAAATATTTAAACATAAAAATGTCTTAAAATAATTGTCGGACTTTGTCCATTTCATAATGTGTGACGCCATTTGTTTACATAGTCTGATGTGCTATACTATTTAGCTACAGAGGAAATGTCTAGTTAGCGAAGTCAAGTGGGAAATTTGTTTTTAAAAACAATAATTTAATTTTGGGAGGCAGACGCTTCTTCTGTAGCTAAATGGTACAGCACGTCAGGTTATATGATAGTTCTGTGCAAGATACAGGTTCGATTCCTGTCGGACATTAATTCTGGTAAATGCTGTCAATACTGTTTATTATAAACAAGGGATTTACTTAAATATTTGTATCCATAAAAATAACGTGCAAACAGAAAATACATTAAAATAATTGTTGAGTTAGTCCATCTTTTGCGGAAATTCCTCCCATATTTTAAAGTTTGATAAAAAGACCAAGGTAAATGCTATTAAGAATATTTCAGTGTTGTTTAAACAAAGGACTACAGTTTTATGTATTTCGTTTCAAAAATAACATCCTCTAAATGGTGACCTCTACTTGCCATACACTGTTGTATATGATTGCTACAGTGATCTATCACTCGGTAATTCGAGCACATTGAGGTTTTCCAAATGACGTTCTTTTAAGCGCTGAACCCGTGACCCTGAAATTTTCAAGCCATAGAAACATCATTTTTCTATCATTCCAGTGTAACATGAAATGAGCACAAAAAGTTCTCTGTGTTACAGAGCCGAGTTCGAATTCCAGTCGAATCCATTACATTCACTTACTTGGGAAAGGTGTGAATCCTCTTCTTCTTCTTTCAGCTATGGGTAAATAGCAGGACAGACTGGGTTCTATAACCTTGGGTGGCAACTGGTCTAGGAGAAGGACAACTCTGAATTCAAAACCTGCGGAGGGTCGTTTGGGGATCCTGTGGCACCTAGTTCACCGAATCTCTGTATTCGGCCCTTCAAAATGTGTGGACGGTCCTGCACGAAACTTTCACCACTATAATCAAATCTCATGTGCTGTTGTCGGGCTGTCGGTTTCCTGGAAACTGATCTGCTTGACCCTCATACGTCGAATTCGGCGGGGAGGGGGAGGGGGGAGATGCGAGCATATATATATATGATAAAAATTATTTCTAAGATATGCTATATTTATTGGTAAAAGTGCTCAATATCAAGAAGAGAGTGTATATAAATATGAAAATGGACAATACCGCAAGGTGATAGTCTGTTTGATGTTTGCGAGCGATTTTCATAGACTAATGATTGAATTCAAACAGACTGTTGCCGTTCGGTGTTGACCTGTGTCCACTTTTTAGAATGCAAGCTCCGTTTATTTTTAAACTGTATATTTAGTTATATAATCTACGTGCCTGAATATCCACGAAATTTTTTTAAAGGAAATGATGCTCCATCGGTAAAGGTTCAAATCTGCGCCCCCCCCCCTTTGAAGGAGAAACAGGCGTTACAGATTCTTGACAAAATTCAAAGAATCTGCAACGTTATCGATCCTGACCTGACATATCGGCTCCAGTTACATTTCCGACATCGTCACTTGAGCCTTTTCTATAAATATTAGCATGGAGATTGTTCTGATGTGACATGACTTCACGAATAGGGCTGAACTTATCCAAGATTGGCAACTAGACCTCATCATTTTACTGTTTAAATTGATAGATGTAACCGTAAGTTCTATGCTAACAGTTTCTTCTCTCGTACTTCTCGCTTGTGGAAATCCCTTTCGACTTTTTGCTTTCCTGTCAGCTACGCTCTTCAAGAATTTAAATACAACGACAATTGTCATCTCTTGATGGGCGTCCATTCTATAGGGGGTTACGGCTATGTTGAATGACTTCCCTTTGTAAATTTTTCGTCTTACAGTGGACAGATGGAGCTGCAATCTTTTTGAAATGGTCCTATAGTTTTCCCCAGTTTGGTCAAATGTCAGTAACTTCTTCCTGATATCATCAGATATCTCTTTTCTTCTCGGCATTGTGTAACATTACAGTAACTTAGATGGTTTTTCCTCTCTTGCATTCTGTGTTGCCCATTTAGTAAGGACTAGCAGTAGAGCCCGGCGTTGCCCGGGGATGTAACAGTAAGACATAGATCAAGTATCGACCATCATAAAGACTGAAAATTAAAATTGACAAAGATTATTGTTTATGGTTGACGGACACGCATGTCTTAATTAGTTTTTTTTTGTTTTGTTTTTTTTTTACGAATTGGTCAAACTCAAACAAAAACATTGTTTTCAATCGTTATGAGTCTACTGGTTGAATAGAATTTTATTATAAACAATTGTCTTGTAAATGTAATTTTTAAAGCATTCTGAATGTAAAAATAAAGAAAAAAGTGTGCAAGACAATAAGAAAAACTACCTGCCAAAAAAAAAGTGAAGTTTTGTTGAAATCGGTTGAAAAGTGTAGGAAATCCGATCCCATATATAAACGAACACAGACACACACACACACACAAACAACCTGGGTTTTATAATAAGTATAACTCGATATGATTTGTCCCCCTTTCATTCTGGTGATGCCTCTTAATCGTGTTTTCAAATTGATTTCGTACAAAAACAATTGTGTTTTTCCAATTTTTGGCGATGTCAGAACCACCGCAAGGTAATTTTATGTAGTCCTGTGAAATTTTGTTGAAATCGGTTGAAAAATGTAGGAAATCCGATCCCATATATAAACGAACAGACACACACACACAACCTGGGTTTTATAATAAGTATGATGTCGCAT